CAAACATTGACTTCATTATAATTTCCGACTAGCGGTTAGTATATGTCAACAACGCCTCAGCCGATTTGCTACAAATTTAAAACACTGTTGTTTTGTTATTGTGCTCTTCGTCCTGATCATTTGACCTGTTGAATTACATATTGACCTTTTGACTTTTTTCTGGTGGTGACATTTCACAGAATGATTCAAGTCTTGCATAATCTTGAACAAAAAATTTCGTATATTGACAAGTTCTGGAGCACAGTATTTACCAACAGTGTAAATCATTCTAGCAGTTGTTGAAGCTCCTCAAACAAGAAGGGTGTGCCCCCCCCCCACACACACACCCGATTACACACACACACACACACACACTTACACTTATGCACACACACACACTTATGCACACACACACTTATACACACACACACTTATACACACACACACTTATACACACACACACACACACACACCCACCATCTGTGAGGGAGTTACTACACTACGTGTCTGCTGTTCAACACCTCCGCGCACATGATCTACGTGACCTCCACTGTAAACATTAATCTGTATGTTCCCTGTACAGTATGTTCCTTTACCTTTCTCCAATGAAGGCTTTTGTTAAACCACCAATGTCAATGTATGTAATAAGTCATTTATGTCCAATGTATATTTTCAGCCTTCGGGCTGCAGAACTTTATCAATAAACCGTTAATTATTATTATTATTATTATTACAATTGCTTTTCTCTTAACCTCTGACCTTATTTTTAAGGTCACATCATGAAATCTTTGCCTCTTGACAATATAACTGGAGGTCAGGTATACTGTCTTGGTACTGTTACAAATATTTTTGTTCTCCAGTCTGGGGTTTAATATTGGATGCTGCCTGGGCTTGGCGCCGCATGTGGTCATGGTCGGTATTCTCAAATTTTCACGTGCTTTGTTTTGTCATTGTAAGTGCGGGTGAGAGCTGACTTCTAGCTATGGCCGAATTTCATTGCAATCACGCCTCCCATTTTGGCTATCAGTTTTGTGCTGTATCTAAATTGAACCAGTTAGAGGCGTTTTCGCATCTCCAGCAAGAGGTAGATGTAACGTTCGAACCTTTGAGAGCCCGGGGCCAGTTAGAGGTGATGGCCCTTAAACTGGTGTGGGGGGCTTCCGTGTTTACATAACAATGACGTGACAATTCGTGTTTACATTCGGTACGGGTAGACAGAACCGCTCGACCGGCTGGCAATTCAACACGTAGAATAGATCATTACAACGATATTGCTCTGATATCAGCAGTTTCTTTTGCCTGGTTATTTTAATTACCCTCCAAACAATGCGGAAAAAACAACACAAAGAGAAATTGATATATTTTTCGCCCAACAATGTTCATTATACAAGCCGCTAGCAAGTGAACTGTTATGGGCAGCATCGCCAAATGATCAGATATTTGTTTATTGTAACATTTACAATTTGTACAAAGTATTGATAAAAAAATTCGTTATATTTGTGATCTTGGTAGAAATTATTTCAATTAAGTGGTGAAATATAGGCCTACCTCAAAACACCATAGCAGGTATATTATCAAATTATTATATTGTCATTTACAAACATATGTGTCGGGCATCACTCAGATATGTAATCACTGCTGCTTTAAACTCGCCATAGTTACGATCTAATACAGTCTAACTTTATGATTGTAATTATCCCTCTTAGTGTTACAATACAAGTGTTGCACATAATCTGAACGACATATGTAGATGTACTTGTTCATGCTTCACCACCAACTATAATTTCTTGGCTGATAATTCACTAGTTACTAGATTTGTGTACAGGAAAGGGAATCTATGAGCAATTTAAATTTTTATAGAATTTGCTTTACTGTGCTTGATAATGATATACATTACTGCAATATTTACTGACCAGGCTAATTTCATGTGAGCACTTAGCATTTTGATTAGGTTTACAAATTTAGAAAAAAAAGATGTGACGAATCGTAATTGGATGCATGACTGAAATATTTTTAGAGCAAGAATGCAAATTAACGTGTAAACATATCATTCTGTTAGAGCTACCACTGTTTATATTTTTTGACGGGATCCTTATTGTTATTTTGTTTTAATGTACAGAATACAAATCTGGGGAGGAAGCAAGGAAACACGAGCTTGAAAACTATACTTCTATTCTCAAAACAAACCACAAGAACCAACCTACCCTAACCTAACCATACCACAGTAACACTACCGTAAGATCGTCAGGTTATAAGCCATTGAATAGGTCGCCTTCTTAAATTACATTCAAACTGGTAATATTTATTTACTTACTCTCTTGAAAGTTGGTGATTACAGACAACACGAACCTCACAAACCTAACCAGACTAATGTAAGATGACGACTTTACATTGTGCGAGTAAGTTAGGATACATTAGTTTGGTCTGGTGTTGTCAGTAATTTTTTATGATTTAGCTCATAAGTTGGTACGCCTGCTCGCCATACTCAGCAACAGCTAGAGATGGGGGTAGGAGTCGTCCTTGTATACTCATGTATAGCATACTATATACTTCAATATAACAAAAATCCTATGTTATATTAATATATGTATCTTGCTAGGTAGAAGCAAGGCATGTAAACGGGTCACTGACTGATAATTACAATAACAATGAAATATACAAAATGGAAGTTTTGGAACATCATAACTGAGACACAGACCTCAAAACGGACATTGACCATTACGTCGTTGTAGTGCAACAATGATGAAATATCCGTTTTGAGGTTTGTCTTATAATGTTACGAAACACTGCCATTTAGTGTATATTTCAGTGTTGTTCACGATATGTCTGATTTATGAAGTGACTAAGCAAATATTTTTTTATATTTGAGTGAACAGCTACAGCAATATACAATATATCGGTATACATGGGATCTGCCATGTTACCGATATATAAATTACATAAGGTTTCGGACCAAGGGACTTGCAGGAACAGAACCTCCCGGGGTCCACCTATAGTAAGACGTTTGTGGTTGTAAGTTTGTGTGACACCAGTTGTTTCATGGCGCCTAACCCATCGTGATACTGTGGGTTCGCTCACCCTAGTTCCCCGTGCCATCTCAGCGTTACGTATACCCTCGTGAAGGGCAATGATAGCACCCTCTCACATCTTGTGACGTCACCCCGATAATTCCTCGCTCCATTCCCTGTAAGATCCCGTTGATGACTGGCATGGTGCTGGTATCCATGTACAACATCCACAGTACGTCTAGTAATTTAATATTTGTTTTGAAGCCTCGGAGGATTCACATCCTTCTAAAACGTATATGCTCATTCATGCTCAAAGGTCGCGAATGTACAGTAGAACTACTAACCGTTCAGAAACCGGTCGAGTAACATTGCTCGGAAAGCCTCGAATCACATCGACCTCATGGTTAACGAAACTTTTTTGAGATACTGTATACATCAACTTATTTTTAAAAAGTGAAAATATAACACAGTCTTTGAAATGTGTGCCCATTTACTAAGTACACTGAGAGAGGTGTATGAGGTGTTATTAAAGGTTGAGATATAAAATGAAGTGACTGTGGTAAGCCACACAGTATTATGGGTATACTGTATATCACATTTTTAACACAATATTTAGGCGTTCTTAACCACATGTTGTCAGGAACATTTATCACCGAACAAAAAGCAGCAGTGAACAGTATAAGAGAATCTGTTAGTTATAAAGCTAAGTCTCTCATGTGCGTTATAAGGATTTACAGGTGAGAAGGCTGGGAAGCGGGTATACAATGTACCGTACCGAGTGTATAGCAAAGATTTTTTTTAGCGGATAACAAATGAAGCCGTGTTTGGTCTAACATATCGTCAGAGGTATAGTAACGTCCGCAGTTCCACATATTATTTGTAAAATATGTGAAACTGCAAAATGAATACATATGATTTTAACAATTGAATTGAGGGTATACTTAAATATGATATTTACTTAGCAAAGTAGTAAAGCTAATTAGGTTTGCCAGTTCAGGTCTAACAATTTCGATCAACTGTAAGTTCATCTAAATACAGTATTATGAAACATGACAGAGAAAGTATACCTCTACAGTGTCTTGATCCTCATATCGTCGATCATGTTTCTAATAATTATAATTCATGTTTTTCAGTTGGTAAACTGAGTTGAAATATTAGACAGACAGACTAATGTGAAAAGTATCCTGTGAGCAAACACATTACAAAATAAAATACAAGTATAAGTAAATTCTGAAAAATTCATAATTTATATTTTACAGAGAAATAGGGACTACTGCAATTTTTGATTGGTGTTGATAGACCTAATGACCAATGGAAATGACGAGAGTGTCTGGACACATTGTTAAATAATATGCGAGTAAGTTGGAGAATTGTTCTCTCCGAAGCCTCGTTTAATTTCAGTGTTCATTGAAAAAGTGGAAAATGGATGCATGAAGATAAACTAATAGCCACTATCATCTTTAAAAAAGAAAGCCTGTATAGAACTCATTGTTTATTATGAACTTCTGTTGAATTTCAAATAGATTTTCTTTAAGTTGAAAACTTTATTTATTGTATTTAAATAAGTTAGCTTTATTTGTTTATTTTCACTTGTTATTTAGAAATTTTAGACTAAGCGTATTTCCACCGTGTAACTCACTAGGCCTGAGACAAATACACAGAAGCGTACTCCAGAGAGAGGAAAATAAACGGTGGAGAAAAAAAACGTGAGTTGGATTTAGAATCTCAAAGAAAGTGGGTGACTGTGAGAGCGTGTGAGAGAGGGCAGCGAGTGGGAGCAGGAGTGGATGCAGAGCTGCGAGGTTGGAGGACAAGCATCAGTTGGGTGGGTAATGGTGTCGTTACAGTGTCGTAATTGCAGGGGGAATGTCGTGTGCAACTTTATCTGCGGGCGGGATTGTGGCGGTGGTTGGTGGAAGGGGGCTGGTTGGGGGTGGGCGGCAACAAGCTTCCTGCCCTCCCGAATACCAAGTAGCCGTGGAAAAACAAATACCTTTTATTAACATAGCGACGATGAAGAGTGACGAGGCTAAGGTTATGTCAGTGTTACCTTGTGGTAACGCGGTGTGGTAAGGTAAATGGTTTACAGTAGGTTTAGTAGAGTTTTTTTGTTCTGGTCTGGTCAGGGTTTAAAGTTTTCATTTTATTTTTTATCCTATTCTGAAACAATGGGCGTAGGTATCACTAAAATGTTACCAAATTTAATTTGACATTGGTTTATTTCACGATAGGATTGGAGTTAGTTTTCTTTTTATGGAGATTGTTTGGATCATATGGGAATATATTTGACCCTGGTAGCGAATGTCAATAATAGCCCCGCCATTACCAATCAATTAACAAGACACATTTGCTCACATTCCCAGTTTTAAATATGTAATAGTGATCCATTACCAAATATTAAAAATGATAGTAAACCACTTCAGCTCCATGTCCACGTTTGACTGCGCAAATAAAAGCACATTATACCGTCCATTATGGCATTATTACAGCTGGGTATTAATCGCGCATGGAACAATGCTGTGATATACAATTACCATTACACGGTGCAGTAATTACGACGTGTAGATACAGTCACCTCCCATGGGGGCCGCACCCCGGGGTAACGTTGGTGGGAACATCGTTATAACACCAACAAAATGACTATTTTCATAAAGATAATTTACTGCCTTTAGTCAGCCCAATTTTTTCCCCTGGGCGATAATGTTCTTTCGTGCGTGAGGGATATTTTCTCCGGCTTAAAGCAGCCAATGGAGAATTCTTAGTCACTCTTTTTCTTGTCTTTCTGTATGCTAAAGTTTCTGACACGTGAAGGCTCTACCAACACATGTATTTCCTTTACCAAATGTTGGTTTACTTTGCCACCAAGCAAATTTTATATTCTCTTCAATCCCCCCACCATGTCAATATTTTTTTCTTGTTTCTATTTTTTTCGCTCATCTATGTTGCTCCCCTTTATGTTTACATTTATTGAATTTGACACTTGCTCTCTGCACTTTGAATAAATGGTGAATTATTCATAAGGGAATCTGTAAATTTTTTTAGTCTTCTGACCCGGGAGTCACAGTCTGTTGGGTACCCCGCAGTGAATATAATTTCCTCACAGTGAAATACAACGGAGGTTTTATAGAATAATTTACCGTGCCATAATATTTTCACCCTCGCATTTTACACTTATACGGCGTGCTGCCTTAAAATTCGGGAAACACATGCTACTAAAATCCTGAATTATATTTGTTTTGTTTTGAGCCAGGGTGAAGATTATCAAATTCGTACATTATTTCATTTCGTTATTTCTTCACCCCAGGGGATGAGAGAAGGCTTCTAGTTTCGTTAGAATCTCCAGTGAAACTTGGGTATCATGTTGACCCGCATCATCGTAGTGAATCTTAAACATGCCAATTAAACGCATTCCTCGACATTGGTGAGCCAGTTAGATACGTTCTCACGTCTTAGGTGAGCCAGTTAGAAGCGTTCTCACCTATAGGCGAGTCAGTTAGGTGTGTTCTCCCTTGTTTTAACATTGCCATTGTGATGCCTCCTCTCCCTAACTCATTCTGCCTCCTATTTCTTCCTCCCATTTTCCCTATCTTTCACTTCCCTCTTCTTTCTCCAGGCTTCCTGGTTCCAGCTCTCTCCTCTTTCATTTTTTCCACTTTGCTAACTTCTCCCTCTCCCCTACTCCGGCCATGTTCTTTCCCCTCCTTCATTCTCCCTACTATCCCCACCCCTCCCTTTCTCCACACAACCTCTCCTCTTCCCCCATCATCCCCCACTACATGTTTCCAGTTGAACTCCGGCGTTAATTATTAGTAGTATATCTGGTGACTGTCTGCCTGCACCACCGCTTCCGCTCTAGCACCACAACCTCCCGAGCACCACCACCACCACTGTTCGTGCACCACCACTTCCCGTGTTAAGCCATCACCCATACACCACCACCCGTGCATCACTTCAGACCCCCCCCCCCTGGACTGCAGCAAACTCCTCCCGCACTTCATTCACCCCCATACGGCTATTCCATATAACGCTGCATTTCAACACTGCAGCACTGCAACTCTGATGTAACACTGCAACTCTTATCCATCATTGCAGTTCTTCCCATTCTTTGTTCAGCGTTGTTGTTAATTCCCTTGCAGCACTGCAGCTAATTCATGAGCAGCACTTTAATTCACTCTCTCTGTGCAGCACCGTAGTCTA